CCCCTGCAGCAGCAAGATGCATGTCAAGATTCACTGCGCTTGGACTCTGGAACCCGGCAGCCCAGCTGGCTACAGGTAAATTGCCAGGCAGGTCAGCGCTGGGTCAGTCTTGGGTGAAGAGGGCCCAGAGGGAAGCAGGCGTGTGGTTTATCCAAAGGCAGTGGGCAAAACCAACAGCCCTAAGTAAACATTGGCATTGAGGGAACGGGGCTTCCTCTCTGGGCAGGCCACTGGCAGGACTTGGATTCCTTTGCCTTCCCCGGGGAGCACACGAATACAGAACAGGGATGTGGATGGTTAGCCGGGTAAGTTAACTGGTAACATCATCCTTACCAGCTACAGTTAACCGGCCAGGGCTGGAGCAGCCTCCCCCCACACACACACCATGGGGTAGCTTGAGTGGATTCGCAAGACCCACGTCTGTGGGAGTTCAGGCTTGAGCTGCGTTCACACTGCAAAACGATGCTACTGCTGCGAGTCCCTGGGCTCGTACCCTCCACCACTGGGGCCCGGGCTCGAGGCAGAGACGTGTGTGTAGACAGCATGGGGGGCTGGACTGAACCCGGAGTACAGTGCAGTGCAACTCCCCTCCCGTGTGCTGCATGCAGACCGTCTGCGGTGTAGATAGCAAGCCTGCGAAACCGCCCATCGGTCCCTGTGCTACCGTGGCAGAGTCTCAGCAGCTCATTATCCGCTCCCCTTTCCCGCCCCCACCCCAGCTGCCACGTTTCCGTATCGCTGAATATATGGAACTTCCAAAGCGCTGGCGGGTGGCAGAGAGACGCCGCATGCGACATTAGTGGGACAGAATAAATCAGGATGGCTGTTTTCTGGGGCTGTCTCCCCTGAAAGCAATTCAGCCTGATAGTGAATGGCAATAGCTGGTGCTTAATTGGGGCGGGATTAGCATAAGTTCTGTCTAATGGGAAGCAGCTTGGGCCAAGCAGTTCGACATTGAGTCAGTGGGAGTTAAACGGGTGTGAAATACTCAAACCTTCCCTTTTAGCAGCCAGGCTGCCAAGTAAAGCTTGAGGTGTGTGTGCCGGCTCCTCCGCAGCCGCCCGCCGGGGCAGCAGGGTTTTGGGGATTTGGATCAAGGCCAGAAGAGGGTTGGAGGCATGAAATGACAAGCCCTAGCACCACAAAGGTATTTAGGTGCCTAGGTCCCAGGGGAGGTATGCGCCTAGCACAGCCAATGAAACGCAGACGAAGAACTTGCTTAGAGCAGCGCAAGGTGGCCCCCAGTTGGTTGTTTAGTTTGTGTTGTGGGGATGGAGAAAATATTCCTGCCTAGGAGCCGCAATGGGCTGGCACCACCCTTGGCTCCTAAATCCCTTTGCCGTGCTGGGCCATGGCTCAGGCCTATAGAATTCCCTTGCCCAAGGAGTCACAACACCTGCAGGGAAAACACTTCGTGCTATCACTGTCTATTCTGGGGAGAACCCAGGGGTCGAATCAAGGCTCTACGTCCTCACCCCCCACCCCCAACACAAAGCAAGTCCCTGCCCCCAAGAGATTACAGGCTGCTAGAACAGACACCCATGAAACAGACGCAGATGCACCCCGTAGCAGCAAGGCCTGTTGAGCCCGTGTAGCACAGCAGCTGTCTGAGTCTGGGCTGGTGTTTTGTGGGGCCTCCTGGGGCCTGGGCTGTCCCCCCGCAGCAATATTTCCCCCAGGGGGCAGAGCAGGTGTTGAGGTGCATGGAGAACCTGTGACGGCGCGTTGGGGTTTTCCATCTCCTGCACCCCCGTAGTGGCATGGAGAGACCCCACCAGCCAGTAGAACAGAGGGAGTTTATTGCTTCTCCAGGATACAGCACAGATGTCATCTGGTTACAGAGCAGGCCTAGGATGCCTCAGCCCCCCTTGAGCTGGGGGAGCCTAAATCCCAGCCCATTGCCTAGGCTGCTTCCTCCATGATCCCAGCCAGAAACCTAGCTTGTCTCCTCCATGCTCCCTCACTTCCAGCCCTGCCCCCAGCCAGGGCTCCACTCTCCTTCTTCCCATTGTTCCGCTCCCTGGGAGATACTGGTCAGACAGGTTCTGAGCCCCCTTGCATAATGACTCATCCCCTGCCCTGCTGGGCCCTGCTGCAGCCAGCAGCCAGTGGGGGTCACTCACAGCCCCCTGCCCAGCACAGCAACCTGCAAGGTACCCCCACTACATCACAGAACCCCAGCAGCGACAGAGCCCAGGGCTCTGCAGGGCGTGCAGCGCTCGTGACTGAGGCCAGACTAAGTGCTGGGCTGGAGGGCTCAGAGGTAGCGGAGGCCGAGTGTTTCTCATGGACTGACATGAAAGCCGCTGTGCTTTTCCGAGTGCACCTATCAATATTTCATTGCACAGCGCAGAACGAGAATCCCTGCAGCTGCCACAGCCTGACGCCCGGAGTCCTTGCTTGGGCAAAGCCCACGGCAGCTCTGCCTGAGCTGCTCCAATCGCACCCCATGGAGGGGCAGCTGCTCGTCACCCTGCCTGACACAGTCACCTCTCCCCACGGCGGTTCCTCTGGCCCGGGAGCTTGCATGTTGCTAGAGCTGCGCCGAGGAAGGACACAGCCTTTCTTGGCCCCACTGCTGGTGGAGAGATCTCCCCCAACCGCTGGGCTAGAGCCAGAGCCTGGCAGGAAGCGGGAAGTGCCAGGGGCACGACAGGAGCCGGGGAAGAGAGGCATCCAGGCTGCAGCAGGAAAACTCCATGCAACTATGGGGGAGGTGGGGCTGTGCACGCTGCTGCCAGCCCCACCCCATGTCCAAGTCCAAGCCAGTGGGAGAGTTCTCCTGGACGGCAGCCGAGCTCTGGGAGGAGCAGGGTGGGCAGTGAGGGCAGAGGGCCGCCCAGCCCCCGTTCCAGACCTTCCAGCCTGCTTAGGGGTGGTGAGTGCCACACAAGGTTTGGGGAGGTGGCGGGAGCAGCCAGCAGGCGTGGGGAGGGACACGTCCAGCTCTGTGCTAGATCCAAACCCGCCCGAGATGGCATTTCCTGTCTCCTAGGCGAGGCTGCCCCGAATACCGCTGCGAGGGGACACGTCTGCCAGGGCAGGGTTTAATACTCATCGGAGGGAGGCAGAGAGCAGAGCGGAGGGTTAATGCTCAGTGCCGGGGGGCAGGAGAGGTGCAGGCTAATGCTCAGTGCCAGGCCAGGAGGGCAGCAGAGGGTTAATGCTCAGTGCAGGAGAATATTCTCTCTCTTTCTGGCTAAATATTATTTCCTCCCATGAAACTGGCTTTTCATCCTTGGCTGGAGGCAGCTCCTGCTGCTGGGAATCCAGCACGCGCCTGTATCTCTGCCACTGCACACTCCACTGCTCCCAGCGAGTAACCAAGACAAAGAGCCTTCCCCTGGGAGCGCAGCCCAGCACGGGGACTGAGGAAGCAGGCAGAGATCCTGGGACGCGTAGGCGGAAGCTTAGGCCCAGCAGAGGGAGATGGCCCCAGGCCTGGGTTTAGGTGAAAGGCTTTTAATGCAGAAGGGGGAAGAAATCACACAAATAAAACCCAGTTTCTCCCTCCCCCGTGATTCTGTCAAGGGATTTCCGGGGGACAGTCAGACCCAGCCCTGTAGAGCACCCCTAAGCACAGCCCGGTCTGGTGACGTGGGGGATCGGTTCTCCCACTGGCTGCCGAAGTAACATCCAGGGCCTGGCCCAAACTGAGTCAAGAACTCCCCCAGGCCTCCGCTGCCCTGGGCTAACCCGAGACACAAGCCGGGCGGGGCCACGTCTAACCGGCCGAGAACCTGCTCCACTCCCTCTTGCCTGCTCCAGGGCAGTGAGTACAACTCAGCCACTGTGTGGACACGCACTCACTAAGCCCCACGGCAGCGCATGCTCCTTCTACACCCAGGCACACGGAGGCACCTAGCTGGGAATTTACTTTTCCCCAGGTCGTGCAGGAAATCGCGACTAGAGTCAGCATCAGGGACACAGGCGGTCTGCCCTGGTGTCCAGAGCTAGCCAGGGCCCACTGGACCATGCTGTCTTCATCAGCCCTAACCCAACTCAATGAGTTCAGCCTGCAGCCCTGAGCTGCTTGCAAGCACGTCTGAGCCAAGATGGAAGGGCCTTTGCTGGCTGCAAAGCCATTACCCAGGGTAAAAATCTCATCTAAAAACCTCCTAAACTTTTAATGTGCATGAAACAGCCACATGACACGCAGGTTTCTTCTCTCTCGCTCATTTACATGTGGTTTTATGCTTTGGTTTGAACAGGGACAGGGACGTGGCTGGAATGAAATTCATGTTTCCACTTTGTGCACCGAGGACGGTTGTGAGCCAGAGCAAAAGGATTGTTGAGTTTCAAGGGTCAAATCACCAAGGACGGTTGTATCTCAGCCGGCAGAGCTACTGGCTGTATATCATTTCAATAGCATCTTCAATGGGGATTATAATCTGAACTGAAGTGGAAACAGCCGAGGCAATGAAGCTGTCAGCAGTCTAAAATTAAGGAATTAAAACCAGCAGAAAAGCATTACCCAGCGTATTCTGCATGCACTAGAAAGAGGGGCTAAATTCACTGCAGCCCTTCCTTGAGTCTGAGACTTCACAAAGGTACAGAGAGAAGCAAGAACAATAACCCCATCAGTATAAAAAGGATGGTGCTATGAAAATCTGCGACACGAGATGTAGAGCCTCCTAAGTGGAAAAAGCAGATGAGTCACAGAGGGCTGGAGTGAAGTGAATAAAAGGGGGAGCAATGAAGGGTTGATGTGGCTCTAAGCAGCTCCCCCAGCCAAATGCAAAATGGGGGAAAAAAGTCCCAAGCAACATCTAAAAAGTTAGGGACATACTACAACAGCCACTCACTATCAGAGTCCATGTATTACAGCCAAGGCACAAAACGCCAGTCTGGGACTTCCTACCAACATGCACACTGACCCAATCCAAAAACCAAACTCCCCCACAAACACACACACACGCACACACCCCTCAAGAGCCCTTATCTGTTCTCAAGTCCTCACTTCAAAAGAATAAAACAAGATCCCCTACAAAACAATCTGGTCGTTTCCAGCCAATGTATTTATTTTAGACAAATTCCACACATTTCTCTGCTGTTTCCTCTTTAGTTTTATCCTAGGTAAGTCCCAGAAAGATATTCCTTACCCAAGCTAAAGAAACTCTGATGACACCACTGAACAGAAGGAAAACCAGTGAAAATAAAAGAGAGAGTCCATTGCAGACAAAATACAAAAAAGTTTCCACAAACCCAGGGTCCAAAAAGCCTCAAGCTCTTCTCAATGAAAGAAATAAAAATTCAGCCTATACAAATCATATTTAATATTCATTACAGTGTCATTCCTTTGGTTACACATTCTAAAAAAATTAAAAGAATGATCTGTATTTTAAGCAAATAAAAAGTATACCCACTTCTCAGATGGAAGAAGAACTCCTGACCCAAACCATCTGTACAGAACTGTACTAGCTGGTTAACACGAAAGGACCCAACCGAATGTTTCCCCGCACACACAAGGCCACAGAACACAGCATGACAAGCAGCCTGGACTAGTTCAAAGAATGAGGTTGCAAAAGGCCAATGGGGTTTCCCGAAGAAATATTCAGCGTGCAGACTCCTCACAAAAGACGAAATGGATCGAAGTCAGAAACGGGAGACGGCCGCAGGATTTCCTGCAGGGGGGACAGGAGGAGTGTGCGGAGAAGAGGCTCATCGAAAGGTCTCTCTCTGAATTGAGGGCTGCCAGCGAGGATAAGGTGACGCTATCTCTGCAGGCAGTGGGGCGCGAATGAAGGGGGACAGACCTTGTTCTGCAGCACAGGTCGTGCGTGGGCTCGCCTCCCACCACTGCCAGCCCACGTCGACTGGGAGAATGACATACCAATTCTCAGTCAAGTCTTTAAAGAATTTTCCAGAGTCCTGGGGGTATAAACAATCTTCACTAAGAAAGGGGAAAGTCCAGAGCTGATCAGTGAGTCTTCTTGGTTGAGCCGAAGCCAGAGAAACCCATCACAGCTGCCATTTCATCGTCCTCTTCAAATGTCAAGTCTTCCTCCGCCCTCCTCTTCTTCTCTCTCTGTTTTTCCTTCTTATAGGCTTTGGCCTTTTCCTCCTGCAGCGCAAGGAAAGAAATGCCGCGTGATTGTAACCTTCTTACCCCCCAAGCCTTCCAGAGAGAAAGCGCACAGGTCAGCTGGTCAAACATCTATCTCCAGCACTGGGAGATGGGATTCTTTTCGGACTGAGGAACAGGAAATGGATGGAAGGAAAATGGTGGACTTGAGGACAGTGGCCTCCCCCAGGGAAAGACCGTGGTCCAGTGATCCTAACAGGTATATTACACCTAAGAGGATTATACTGCAACAGCGTTATGGGATCCTCAGCTTCCCCTGTTCAACAAATGCCAAAGACTTAATCAGAAATCACCCAGGCAAAGGAACGCTGTTTGGAACAGGCGACATCTCTCCCGCGCTGACGCCCTGCTCCAATAGCTGTGGTGCCGAATCAGGGCTACAGACAATGTCACTGACGGTTTCTGAGGCAGCAGAGTGACAGCTGCTCGGTGGAACATACGCCGAGTTCGGAGTGGCCTGGGGCGGGCTGGGCTTCAAAGGGTTTGCATTGCTCTAATCACAATGTTTCATTCTACAAACATGGCAGGCCCTGGAACGGCGCCAGACCTGTGCTGGGGGCATGCACAAGTGTGACTTCCGCTCCCAACTCAGCAGCAGTCCCTGTTACTGCTGGAGCTCATGGTCTTTCAGCGTTTCCATCAACACCTGCCTCGATGGCTCTGCAGCTCCAACAGATGGATTTAGTCTCTGACAGCCACACCCTATAGCATGAGACACCTACATGCTGCTGCATAGTTTTTAAACTATGTAGATTTCCATCAATGTTTAATCCCAAGGAGCTGTCTGCACCCCTACCGTGTGTCTGCGTTTGTGTTCCCCTAAACGGATGAATAAAAATTCCTCTGGTTTATCAGCAACAAAACCTGCTGTTGACCAGCTTTGTCCCAGCCAAGTACAGCTGGGGGCCCTGCTTTAGGGTTTCATCTGTGGCCCTGCAGATAACCCCTGCTGAAAGATAAAGCACAGAGACTCTGGATACCAAGGTGACTGCTGATCCTTGTGTACCAGGAGAATCTGTTTCGGTAATAACCGTTCATAGGAAATGAAAGCATCAAACAGCTCAGTTCAAGATGCTTTTCAACTCCCACAAGAACTTTCCTGGTTATTTTAAAGTGAATTTGCCCTCAAATCTTCATTACAGGGCTTTGCTTTTCAATTTAAAAGCATGTGCAAGAGGGAGTGAGGAGACACGGGGCATTTGAATGTAACCAAGTTCCTGTGTACACATGCCAAGCACCAGAAGAAGCTGCCTAAAGCTCTAGCACCCATGCAGGAACCAACGCAGAAGTTCCTGTCCCACCTCAGCACCAGAAGCCATGGCAGCACCACAAGGAACTATATGAAGAATCGGCTTTAATGACCAATTTCTGGGCCCTGGGATCACACTCAGGTTATGGGAGTGCGATCTATTGAATGTAACATGTTCTAATCAGTCTCACTATGCCTGGGAAGACCAACTGAAGACAGTTCTGTCTGAAAACAACTGCTCTGGCAAATCAGAGAGAGAAAGGACTTTTGCGGGGGGTAGGGAGCAGAGAAGCTCTTCAAACCCTGCAAAGTAGAGATTCTGGTGTATTGGAAGTAGGGATGTAAAACCCTGGTTAAATTGGCTAACTGGTTAAACCTGTTGTTTAACTGGTAGACACATGGGGGATGTCCAGACTACATATTATTTTCAAAAGAGGATGAATTAGCATATCTTCTTCCAATCGCTTTTGCGAAAGCGGGTCTTTTGAAAGTGAAAGTAGTCTGTACGTGGGGAGGGTTCAGGAAAAAAAAAAACTTTTCCAAAAAAC